ATGTGGGTTGGATAGCAGTTTCCGGATATCCACGGGCCCGTGACTTTATTTTGTGGCGAGTCACATCCGCCACGTCGCAGTGTTGTTAAACAGACATTTGTGGCTTTTTATAGGGAGAACGCCTGCCGGGCGAAAACCCACCACGTCCTGGAACACTGCCGCCGAACTATTTGCTAGAACGGGTTAAACCCGAACCACCCAGCTGGCACCACGAGGAGGTTGTTCGGCTTATTTAACAGCGAAGGTTTTGTGAAGTCATAAGGAACTTATGCAGAATTATGGTACCTATGAATTATCATTTTATATATACATATGGATAGCGAGCCCTTCCATTGAAGCGTGCTTTTGGCTACTCGCCGAGAAGCAAAAGGAGATGAAGATAAATGTCTTTGTATGTCCATGGATGTTGTTAACTAATGTTCTAAATCATTATCGGCGCCGCTTAGTGCATAAAATCTTTCTTTTTAACCGTATTTTCTGTCAGCGCAAGTGATATTTAAAGCACCATGAGTGACGAATAATTCATCACTGTGGTAGTACGTACTTGCAAGTCTGCTTTTGCTTACGGCGTAACGTTGACGGAATATGCATCCCTTCCGCGAGAGCAGCGAAAACGTGTGCCATCTTGTGAGTGTTGTAACGCCCTAAATGACCAGAATTTTTGCCCTCATCAGACTAAATGTACACTGTATGGACGACATCTTGGTCACCCAAAATATTTTCCAAAGCACCCTGAAATTCCGAAACGTAAGTTTCATGGTTAAAATATCATAAACATGAAGCGGAAAACTACCTACTAATTATAACTACGTAATGCATTAGCCGTAAAGACAAACCCTAAATGATTGTAAATGACCAAACCTCGTGCAAACGAAATTAAATTACGATGGCTTTTAGTCAAACAGTATGCTTTTTCTGATGCTATCTCACCATATATCATGAGTGCGCTGCTGTCGGGGCCTTTTTACTGCAACCTCAATCCTCGTAGTCAAATGATATTACAACACACTTGGGACCAATTACCTCGGCAATAAATTTGCCACTGATGGAGCCTATATACAACGAGCACCAGCCTTGTAGCCGTGTGATATTACAACCCGCCTGGGTCCTATTACATTGGCAGCATACGTACCACCGATGGAGCCTTTATACAACAAGCACCAGCCTTGTAGCCGTGTGATATTACAACCCGCCTGGGTCCTATTACATTGGCAGCATACGTACCACCGATGGAGCCTTTATACAACAAGCACCAGCCTTGTAGCCGTGTGATATTACAACCCGCCTGGGTCCTATTACATTGGCAGCATATGTGCCACTGATGGAGCCTATACACAACGAGCAACAGCCTTGTAGCCGTGTGCTATGACAACCCACCTAGGTACTATTACACTGGCAGCCAAGGTGCCGCTAGTCCAGTTAATTGTTGAAAACGCTTTAATCCCGAAGGAGCTCAGAAACCGCAATAACCTCGGTGCATTGTATTTAACAGAAAGCAGCGAAAAAGGTTCAGCGTTGTTCGGTATTATCGTACCTTGGACGCGCATGTCCCATGCAGTGTGTCATTACAAGTCGTATTCATCGGCTGAAATTTAATAGTAGTGCGAACGTATAGCATACTGTCGGGTAATTGAATGAGAGTTTTTATCTGAACAAGATTTTTCCTTCTCAGCGTTTTCTTTACTGGGCTAGCATGCCTTGTAGACGCTACAATAAAGTGAAAATGAGAGTTTAAATTGCACAGAATAACTTACTTTGGCACCACATTTTGCATAATACCTCTAGTTGAGGGGAACTCGACGACTCCCTTTCGACAACCTATCGATGAAAGGTAATGAAAAAGATCGTTAGTACCAAGTGCATGTGCAATATGATGGGTTACGGTTTGTTGACTTGTACTCGGATCGGCGGTTATCTCGTCACTGAAGGAACTCCTCGTCTGTCCGACGGCGACTGATGGGGTGTCGCTCAAAAAGAAAGCGGTTAACTGGGTGATTATGAGACAGATCGAAGGTTGTGACTTTCAGCTTGCGTCCTGTTCCAATGAGGTTAACGCAAGCTTTGCAGTTAGTATCAAGTCAGCTAAAAGATTTAGAATAATAGAAGCAAAAGCCTACAAAACACGTCTCCTTCCTGTACTTGTTGACATGCAACGTGCGCAGCGGACACATCAATAAATGACCATGTCGTAATTCACCCGTGACACGTGACACTTTGTACCACTGTAGCATACGAAATTGACGTAATGAAGAAGCACAAAGTCTGAAAGCAATATTAAACTCATCAAAACTGTCGAAAGAACGCCCAAGGATTCTTCTCCGGAAATCAGCCTCCATGGCGTACGGATTCTAAAATACTGTTCGTGCCGCGTATCTGGTTTCCGACACATTTAAACAATTGCAATGTCACATTTGCACAGAATTAAACAGAACAGCAAAAACAGAAAGAGAGCTTGGAATTATGCTATAAACTGACCACAAACAATTTTTTGCGCACTAGGTTTTGCGAGGCAACAGTGCGTACCAGGCTTCCGACACATTTAAACAAATGCAATATTACATTTTGCACAGAATTGAGTAAAACTGCAAAGGCGGCAACGTAGCCAGGAATCGTGCCATAAAATGACGCTAAACTATTTATTGCGCACTAGGTTTTGTGGATTAACGGTGCTGCGACTACGTCGCAACGAGGCTACACAAACATGGGAAACGAATATGCGAAAGGTGACT